TTTTAAGTGGCGATGGAGATTATTTGTTGACCCTGCTTTAAAGTATATTTAGCCTTTACAAATGGTGCGCTTTATCACTGCCTGGGTTTTGGTTGAAGTGCATCCAAGTGCTGCTGCGTTTTCGCATTTGTCTAATTTTCCATCCGAAAAACGTCGTCCTGTACCACTTGTTATGACTTCTCTCTCTCGCATATTCCGTTAAGACCCACCCCATCTCACTCCTCGTGCTGAAACCTACCAATCAAGTATAGTGGGGGGGGTCTTCACAGAATACGTGTGGGGAACAAAATCAAGCTTTTTAAAGGCAGTGAGTGCGGACCAACGATTGAACGATAACAAGAACGGCTCTCGCCAAATACGACTCGGTTCCCCTCGTTCGTACCAAAGAGCCGTTCAAATGAATCGGCTCGTTCGCGACCGACACATCACTAATAGGAATGGACGTCTATCATAACAATTTAGCCAATTACAAATAGGTGCTGTCGGCTTTAGACCCACACATGTTTAATGTGTGGGTCCTGCTATGTATTAGTACATGCATGTGAGCTGAGATGCCATCTGCTTTCTGGCCTCAGCAGGGGAGAGGAAAGGTCAGACTGTTTTTAGAGTTGTGTTCGTGTACCTGTTGTATTATTAATGAGAAGCTAATGTCTGGTTTGCCTGTGTACGTGCAGCGCTAGCCGATTACATGAAGCAGCACTTTAGGTCAGACAAAGTGAGAGCGAGGGGAGATTCATACAGGAAGTGGTTGAGTTCAATTGAAGCTCCATTGAAATGTGTTTTATATATATATTTATATAGATATTTATATTATCATCTCACCAAGCTTTGTTAAGTTTCCTTATTTGTTCATTGTTGTTTAAAGAGTTCCTGGTTTATAATAGGTCCAATTTGTATCGAGGTCAAACAATGTCACTACTCTATTTGTTGTATTTATTTATCTTTATTTCCTTCTCTAACAGTCTGAGGACTTTTTTGGCCTGAGGCGTCTGTATGTCATTCTTGGCTCCTGTTTGTTCTACAAGGTAGGGGTCTCAGTGAAAACACACTCGCTCATAATAACTCATATCGCTCATATCTCATATCACTCATATCGCTCATAACTCATATCACTCATATCGCTCATAACTCATATCACTCATATCACTCATATCACTCATATCACTCATATCACTCATCTCTCATATCGCTCATATCGCTCATATCTCTCATATCTCTCATATCTCTCATATCACTCATATCACTCATATCACTCATATCACTCATCTCTCATATCACTCATATCTCTCATATCACTCATATCACTCATATCACTCATCTCTCATATCGCTCATATCGCTCATATCTCTCATATCACTCATATCACTCATATCACTCATCTCTCATATCACTCATATCTCTCATATCACTCATATCACTCATATCACTCATATCACTCATCTCTCATATCACTCATATCTCTCATATCGCTCATATCTCTCATATCACTCATATCACTCATATCTCTCATATCTCTCATATCTCTCATATCACTCATATCACTCATATCACTCATATCACTCATATCTCATATCACTCATATCACTCATATCTCATATCACTCATCTCTCATATCACTCATATCTCTCATATCACTCATATCTCTCATATCACTCATATCTCTCATATCACTCATATCTCTCATATCACTCATATCACTCATATCACTCATATCACTCATATCTCTCATATCACTCATATCACTCATCTCTCATATCACTCATATCACTCATATCATTCATCTCTCATATCACTCATATCACTCATATCTCTCATATCACTCATATCACTCATATCTCTCATATCGCTCATATCTCTCATATCACTCATATCACTCATATCACTCATATCTCTCATATCACTCATATCACTCATCTCTCATATCACTCATATCACTCATATCATTCATCTCTCATATCACTCATATCACTCATATCTCTCATATCACTCATATCACTCATATCACTCATATCTCTCATATCACTCATATCACTCATATCTCTCATATCTCTCATATCACTCATATCACTCATATCTCTCATATCTCTCATATCACTCATATCACTCATATCACTCATATCACTCATATCTCTCATATCTCTCATATCACTCATATCTCTCATATCACTCATATCACTCATATCACTCATATCTCTCATATCACTCATATCTCTCATATCACTCATATCTCTCATATCACTCATATCTCTCATATCACTCATATCACTCATATCTCATATCACTCATATCTCTCATATCACTCATATCACTCATATCACTCATATCACTCATATCACTCATATCTCATATCACTCATATCTCATATCTCTCATATCACTCATCTCTCATATCACTCATATCTCTCATATCACTCATCTCTCATATCTCTCATATCTCATATCTCTCATATCACTCATATCTCATATCACTCATCTCTCATCTCTCTCATATCTCATATCTCTCATATCACTCATCTCTCATATCTCTCATCTCTCATATCTCTCATATCTCATATCACTCATATCTCATATCACTCATCTCTCATATCACTCATATCTCTCATATCTCATATCACTCATATCACTCATCTCTCATATCACTCATATCATAATGTAATTACAAAGATACTTCAAGAAAACCACCTCACCGGGTCAAAAAAGACCCACTTATGCATCTAAGGCAGGGGTGCCCATTACGTCGATCGCAAAGGTAGTGTGGGTAGATCGCATGGCATTGGAAAAATAAAATATATTTAATTTTTTTTAAGTTAGCCTATCATCCATCCTTACTATGGCATTTGCCACTTGATTGACGTACAGGAAAGCCAGTCTGAGTTGCATTGTGCCATACGGGTTCATGCAGTTATGAGGGGGCACCTCCTCATCTGAAGCGCAAATGCGACGCAGTATTATGCGGCGCAATTAGTGTAAGCGCGCCAACTAGCACCCCCCCCCCCCCCCCTCGCGACACAGATTGGGCAGGGGCGGCCCCGTAGGTAGATCTTTTGGGCTTGGTCATTTTAAAAGTAGCTCCCACGCTAAAAAGTGTGGGCACCCCTGATCTAAGGGTATGGCAACAGCAGCCAGCTATCAGAAGCTTTCGCACACGATAGCAGAACACGCCTCTTTATGGCTCTGTGACTAATCACCAACCGGATGACTCTGATCAAATATTAACCAAGTACAAACGGGGGACAGTGAGCTCTACCCTATACCAGTGAAGCTGTGAGAAACACTTAGCATGAAGGGAAGAATCTTATCTTGGTATTTAGATGTGTTTTATCATTACACATAGAAATGAAGTGGGACCTTTAGGAAAGCGTTGTTTGTAAAGATAATGAGAATGCATTCCTTCTGTTTTAAAGTGAAATGGAGCTCAACAAAGCCCCGCCTGTATCTTTCACTGCAGTTAACTAAACAATGATATTGGAAAAGTGCTTTTTGTACTTCAAAGTCAACTTTATTGTCAATCTTTCAGTTTGTGTGTACAGACGGAGAGATCGAAATACCGTTTCCCACAATAGAAAAATACAAATATGTAAAAAATATGTATATCCTATATATATATATACACAACCAACAGACACATATGCACACATTAAGATAAAAGCACAACAATCAATATATACAAAATAACAGTTACTTCAATATCTTTGGGGATGTACATTAGTGCAACATTGTCCATAGCAGTGTAAAAATAAGTTGTATTACACTATCAAATGTATTTTCGCTCACAATGCTGGCTTCAAACCCTACATTTGTTTGATAAAAACTGCACTGAATTGTCTACACGCTCCCCTTGCAGTCCTACCTGATCGCCAACCACCTGCCTAAAGAGGACCTGCTGGACGTGTGCCTGTACTGCCAGCACTACTGCCTGCTGCCTCTGGCCTCTGAGCAGCGCGTGGGTCAGCTGGTCATCTGGAGGGAGGTGTTCTCCCCAGCAGAGAGCGAGCACCAACAACCCAGGATACAGCCAACCCCAAGGACGCCACTTCCTCCTCATAGTGGGGCTGGTGAGGAGGCCAACTGTCGTGTCAAATTATCATATAGTCATTTAATACCTCTAGTCTTATACTCTGATTGCCTGTTACACACTGTTACATTGTAATTTAGTCTTGTATGTGTTTAACAGACATATGTTAAGGGTTTACATTGCAGGAGGGCAAAGGAAGTGTAAAAGGGGGGTATGCAACTGGTTAGGGACTGGGGGGTTTCATGGTTTAATGGTGGGGGTGTTTAGATAATAAAGGGAATGTAAGGGTGGGACCAGTTGGCTCTGTTCCTACATTTGGGATTTCACTTGTACATTGACTTTCTTTATTACTTTATTAAATATAACAAAGACGAACTTTGTCCATTAATCATTTATCAGTTTCTCTTAAGAATTTCCTCCACACCAATCACTCCTTGTTGCCCGATTTCTACTATCTTTTTTACATGGTACAAGTTATATTTTCCCTGCTTGTAATTCTCTCTCTCTCTCCCTCTCTCTCCCTCTCTCTCTCCCTCTCTCTCTCTCCCCCTCTCCCTCTCTCTCTCTCTCTCTTTCTCTCCCCCTCTCTCTCTCCCCCCTCTCTCTCCCCCTCTCTCTCCCCCTCTCTCTCTCTCCCTCTCTCTCTCTCCCCCCCTCTCTCTCTCCCTCCCCTCCCCTCCCCTCCCCTCCTCAGAGGCACTTCATGCAGTGCGTGCTGCTGGAGGCCCGGCGGCTGTGCTTCAGCCGCTCTGGGCTCTCCAGGACCCGACTGTGTCTACGTAGATCAGGTGAACCTTGTGATTCTTCAAAGCTAATGCCTAACATATTACCTAGTCACTCTTATAGCCTAAACAATGTAAATAGGTGTCTCAGGTGCAATAAATAGGCGGAGATACTGTCCACTACACTGACGAGGAAGGATAAAGGGACATTCTGTAGCCGAGGAATGTATCAAGTCTTGCAAGAAAAATAGAAGTACTGCGACATTCATTTTTCAAGGTTTTTATTTGAATGCAAACCAAACACTAAGATTAAGAACTAATATGGATGAAAAAGCATATCAAGTTTGTGTTAGTTCGGAGGGGGGAAGGGAGGTTTGGGTCAGTGTTCGTTTATGAGTGGGGATGACGTATTAATTGCTACTATTTCATTTAAGTCAAATTGTGTTGCCAGTTAATTTCTTGGTGTCATGACATCTTGAATGTGATGTCCTTGTACCCTCCTCACTCATCCTGCTGAAAAAAGGAAAAGCCTATAAAGTGCCACTCCTCTCTGAGCCCAGGTGAAGGCCACCCTGCTGCAGCTGGAGGTGTTGCAGGCTGGTGTTGAGGAGCGCCTGAACGCCCCCCCCGGCCCCCTGCCTGTCCTGTGCCGACTGGTTCCTCCCCGCGGCCCGCGACCGCCTGGACAGCCTCGCCTCGTCCTCCCCCGTCTTCAGTAAGCTGGCGGGGGCCGTCAGAGGCTCCTCGGGGGGGTCGAGGGGCCGCAGCCTGTTCGGAGAGAGGGCCCGGCGGAGCAGCCCTCAGAGGAGCCAATCGGACAGCGGCAGCGAGGGCCAGATGGATGCTGGGACATCACTGGCTCCAGGCCTCAGTCCACACTCTACACCGGACTCGGGGAGAAAGCTGGGGGGCCGTCGGGACTCCCTGGGGTCCGGAGGGTCTGAGGGGAGTGGAGGCAGCGGAGGACTCTTTAAGGTACAGTTGGAGTCTTTCCTTGAGGCTTATACCTGTTCCTGTTGTTTATTACTGTGTCTTCAGAGGAATGTGTAATACACCCCCAACAACATTGACACATAGAATCAGATATACAAAGGAAGGTCACAAAACATGTTTTTAGTTGGAATACAGAACAGTATTAGAATGAAACCTTTCTATGCCCTGACACCAGTCATGTAGATTTAAAACAACAGGCTAAATGACGTATAACGTACCACAGGGTAAAAATGCTTTGTCATCAGATTCCCAGGATGAAGCACCCGAACCCATTCTTCCTGGGCACCCTGAAGAAGACCCTGACGGAAAGGGAGACGGAGGAGATGTACAACACCATGAAGTGGGTAATGAGATGCATTTCTTGTATTTTAACATTTTGGCTAGAACTTGCTAAAAACCTTCTTCTCGTTGTGACAGACTGACCTCTGGAGCAGAGAACACGTTGTTCCACTACGTCGTGATGGAGAGTGTCCAGGGGATCTTCATCGCTCCGACCCACAGGGAGGAGGCTCAGCTCAGCGGCTCCATCCACCCGCAGCTCATCCGCAACTTCCACCACTGCTGCCTCTCCATCCGCGCCGCGTTCCAGCAGAGCCTGCCGGCCAGGGTGGGTCACCTCTAGGAGGCCATGAAGAAATGTGTTTAGAACCGCAGACCGTATCTGATCAACATACTGTGTCGATAATATGCAAAAAAAACGACATGTCAAATAATAGGAATAACCGACAAAGTATAGTATATCGAAAATATGCAAAGAAACGTCATACTATGTCGATAATATGCAAAGAAACGACAAAGTATACTATCTCGAAAATATGCAAAAAAAAAGTATAGTATTTTGAAAATATGCAAAAAAAACGACATTCTATACTACTACTATACTATGTCGTTTTCGAAAATACTATACTTTCATTTTTTGCATATTTGCAACTAGTATTGTACAATAGTTGCAAATATGCAAAAAACGACATCCGAATACCTTTATTCGTCCCCCAGAGGGAATGTCCAAAATATGCTAAAGAAAATACATGTCAAATGTTCTGAAAAAAACACATGTCCAAAATATGCAAAGATCGACAGTATAATGAATGACCTGTCCCCCTGCAGGGCCGGCGCGCTGCAGACCGGCCTCAGGGCTGGGGTCTCGGCCCAGTGAAGGAGCACGGGGTCCTGTTTCAGTGCAAACCTGAGAACTGGACGGACCAGAGGAAGCCCGCTCCCACCATGACCTACTGGGTGATAGGGTACGCTTTATCCTATTACATGATAACTATGGAATACCTGGATGGAACTATTCGAATTAGGCTCAACATTCCCCGTTCTACTTGAGAGCGCTTTGCCTTCATTTGGGCTTTTTTTAGAAGTACATAAAAAAAAGAAGTTTTGATCTATCTGTGTGTCTTATGACATTTCATGATTATCTCTAACTTCCTAAAATGACATTCTGGATAATTTGGTGAAAATATCAAGCCTGCCTTTCCCCCCCAGTCTAATGTATTTTTCCATGTCTCAGTCGCATGCTGCTCGAGCCGGTCCCTCAGGAGTTCTACGTGTGTTTCCACGACTCGGTGGCAGAGGTTCCCGTAGAGATGGCCTTCAGACTCTCCTTCGGCCTGGCCTTGTGATCAGATCTGTGACGAGAAGGATGGACACGCTACAACACTTCTTAGCATCTGTTGAACTCTCAGGAAAAAAACTGTTGTGGATTATTATTATTATTATATAGCAGTGAGTTCTAACCAGGTCATGGTTGTGTGCTTTGTTGCCGACCACAGATGTGTGCACACGTGAATAACGTGTTGTTTATCTCTGTTAAGAGCAGACGCCCTAACGTTTACTAAGCTGGACCAACTGAAACTATTGTGCTGCAGCTATGCTTCATGTTGACAGCAAATAAGGTAGTAACAACTTGCAGTGTTGGAACAAATAAATGATATTTAAGATGTACAGTTTTGTATGGAAATAGATTAACAAAGTCAATTAAAGAAGCAACTCTTTTATTGTTTGTCCGCCTCCACAACATAATTCTACACTACTGACAAAGGGAGTGGAAATAAAGCGATTCTTACTCCAAACATATCCAACAAATATTAATCTTATCAGTATTGTTTAAGACTCAGCAAACAAATCGTAGAATTCTGCATTTTATAATGTACATAATTGAATGTGTGACCAGGGAAAACCATTATTATAATGACACTGAAATGATTTGTGTGGAGTTCAAATGATCCTTTCCAGGATGTAGTCTGTATGCACCTTCATCCGGATGTAGTAACACAACTGGTGTTAGAGTTCATTCGTCCGTTAGAGTTCACGCTGCGCTCTGAACCAGCAGCATGTTCCTCTTGTAGCACTCGAGGCTGCAGAGGGGCACCCCGCTCTTGGAGCAGGCGTACCTCTTGATGTTGGGGCAGCCGGTGACCCCGCAGGTCAGGGGGGGTGCAGGAGGAGCAGAGGGGGGGGTGGGGGTCGGCGCAGGAACCCCCGAGGGGAAGGAGATGTTCATTCCCAGGGCGTTGTCTCTGTAGCGCACCATGGGGCTCTGGCTCAGCTTGGACTTCCTCTCCCTCATGCTCTTGATCTTGGCCTTGCTGGTTTTGGTCAGCCTCTCGATGGTCTGGTTCTTGCTGTCCTCCGCCTTCTTGGCCGCCTGCAGGCGTCTCTTCCGCGCTCGCTCCTCCCGCTTCTGCATCATCTCCGCCGTCATCTCCTTCTCCTTGTAGCCCATCGGCAGCTCCAGGAGCGGCTGGCTCTGCTGCTTGTGTAACAGCGCTTTCTGAAAACACGACAAACACTCCTTAAAGCACACGTTTCTATTTCAGAGAGCATGCTGGCAGATTACATATTTGTTGAACATCAGTTAAATGACTACCTCGGTTTGTTGTATATATTGATATCAGTGGACCATGCTAACTTCATGTTCCTGTTATTTCATTACGACAGGCGATCCTGCCCGAAAGCAGCTTTTAGTGACTCAAAATAGTTTTTCACTACGGTATGCTAGTAAGATGCTGGAAGTCACAACAAGTTTTTGACCAGGTAGCCAAGTATTAGATATTGAATCCAGTGATATGGCATTAAATCATTAACGCTGTACTGAAGCGCGCAAGACGTCATTTGGATGGAAATCAGTTGCTTTAACGCTGTCATTTACTTTCAATAAACCCTTTGAGTTTGATCCGCCTCCTGTGAGTCAGAACTTAAATAGATTACAGAATAAGTGGAATAGGAACTGAGTTCATTACATAAACGGCCACTTGTTTATAGCAACCATCTGTAAAGCCACATGCACTCTGTAACAAATATCTAAATGAAATCCTAGTCTTCCACGTTCCACCTTAAAGCATGTTCTGACTAACAGGTGATGAGAGTTCAGAGTCTCTCCTCCTCACCTGTCGGGCTGTGAGCAGAGACTCGTCCACCTCCTTCTTCAGCTCCCCGTTGTCGTCGAGCTCTCCTTTCTCCAGAGCCTCGAGCCACCGCTCCTCCTCGTCCACGGGCACCATCATGGAGTCTGAGTCTATGTCTGGCATAGGGGATGTGGCCAGGTTACTGTCTTCGTCTGACGCAATACAAACCGGATAAACATGATGAATGTGGGGTCCAGGAAATAAATCCTCACCATGGTACAACTGAAATACAGCTGATGTGAGGTTAACTAGCATCCACTCGGAGTAAGAAAGGCTTTTGATGTGAATAGAGGGAACATTCACAAGCATTAAAGCTTTTGTTTAGCTATCATTGGATGTTGTTCAACTGACAATTAAGGTACATAATACATTTTAAAGGCTATTCATAAAATAAGTATCATATATGGAGAGATCTTAAAGTACTGTACCGGTGCAAGTTAATGTGTTTGCATCAATGTGATACACTTAATACTCTTGGTTGTATTTTTACTACTGTTCTGGGGATCTTTGGGTTTCCCCAACCCGTGTCGTGAGACCACATAAAAAGAAATAAAGTTGACGTGTTAAGAGATAAAACTCAAATATTTAAAAAGCTCAAATTAGAGAAATGAACAGAAAACCAACAATCTGTCCACCTAGATCAGTGTTTCTCAAACTTGTTCATACCAAGGACCACTTAACCAATAAAAAAACACTCGCGGACCACCTAACTCCACAAATATCCAAAAACACATCGTTTTAGAACAGATTACAAATCGCCTGAAAATGGTACAAACAAAGTAGGGCTACTCAATTAAGCAGATTTTAATCGCAATTACGATGCTGGCTTGAAACGACTATGAAAACAACATAATCGAAATAAAACGATTTCTAAAAAAAGAAATAATGGTGTTTTGAATTATACTTAAAGAGCCTGTGACACGAGTTTCCCCCATCATCCAACCCCATCAATTTGAGTAAATATTGTCCCCTTGAAAACCGTTACTGGACTGATTTTGGATATTTGTACTTTGATAACCATTAATCTGCCCTTCAATGTCGACCATTTTCTGGATCTTCTCGGGATTCTTCAAGTCCCGCCAAATTATGTGTGACGTCATTGCGGGCACAGAGCTCCAGCTGCACCGTTCAGGATCCCAGCAGCTGCATGTAAACGCACGATGGCGCACACAGCAGCAAGCTCAGACAGCGATGACAGTTTAATGTTGAACGTGTCTGAGAGCTCATATGAGGCTGAAGGATCGGTTTATTGTATCTGTTAGAAGTTTAGGAATTAGGTGCGTCAATATGGGCGATAATACGGTCATGTAGCCAGTGGTGGACTGGGACTAAAAATCAGCCCGGGACTCTCGACCGGCCCACTTCGGTACCGCTAGTAAATTGTCAACGGGGGGATGTCAGGGGCGGCGGGTGCTGTAGGCTAGGGAAGGCTAAGCCTTCCCAAATATTTGTGTCACTGCATCCTGGTAAAATACAAATATAATGCAATGTCTGTGTCTTTGACATTAGCGCTGCTAGCCACCTGTGCCCTGTACTACGAAGCCAGTTCAACAGACCCTGGATATGTTTGAGTAACAAACTAACAACAACAAACGAGATCTCCCTAAGCGGTCCTACGACGCTGGTTATCAACTCGGTAAATCAAGCCAGGGTTTCTCTCTCCAGCTGAGAGCGCGTTCACGTGAAAGGGGCGGGGTTAGCTACATTTGACCAATCACAAACAGGGACAAGTGTACTGACAACGCAGCGTCATACTTCATTAATGAAAAGTAAACTAATATTAGACAAATATGAGCTTTAAACATCCATGACTTAAACATATAATCCAGGATACAAGCCACAGAGATGCACCTGCAAGGTGAATACAGAACAACTGGTTAAAAAATAACTAGGCCTACCGAGTGTTTGAAAGCGTATAGTTTTATGATATCAATGTGACACTGTAAGTGTTGCACGGCCAGATACGGCTGGAGAAGCTGACTCAGATAAGGAAATATATGATATATTATGATATTATATGATCGATGATCTGATTGATGATGTAATGATAAGTGCGACACGTCGGCGTCTTCTCTGCATACGGCAGTTTAAACTGTATTTCCTTTATCCTGTAATATGACTTGAGAGATTTAAACTCCGCACACTGAGTTGATCTCTTTTCTATAGACGCCGGAGGCGGGCAGCGTCAGGTAAAACAAGTTATTTAGCCTTCCCAAACCTGAGCCTCACGCGCCGCCTATGGAGGATGTGCTAGTGACTTATCCGACCGGCCCACTTCGGTACCGGCCCATCGGGATTCGTCCCGATGGGCCGGTCCGCCACTGCACCCAGCCAACGTAAACTGTCAACGGGGGGAGCCTCGCTGCGGGGAAACGGTGGACCTGATGTCCCGATCGGAGTGGGAATAATAATAATAATAATCCGTGCATTTTATCCATTAATTTCCCCAACATTGAGGTGAAAAAAACACACGTTTAATCCACGTTGGTGTACAACTACAAAAAGCATCGGTTTGTTTTCTCATCAGGAAATGCAGACCGGCTCAAACAAACGATTTTTAAATCATCATCCTCACGATCATTTAATGTATCATATGTTCGCCGAATTGACATGAAAGCACTAATAAATGTAGTTTCATCCACTTGAGTTTACAACTACAAAAATAATCGATTTGTTTTTATATCACATCCTACGGGAGGAAATTCAGCAGCTCTCACTACCGATTTTTAACCCTAATGTAATCATCATCTTCACCACGATCATGTATGTTTATGTTCGCCGAATTGACATGAAAGCACTGACAAATATGAATATACTGTAGTCAACTTCATTAAAACGTTATTAACGAGCCTAAACTCAGTAATTCACCATTTCTACGCATGACAACACACTTTGTCCGTGTTTGGCTCTCTCGCCGCACAGTGAAGCGTTCCCGCATTGACGTCACTTCCGGCTTCCCCCAAAACTTCAAAATGAGTCGAAGGAATTTCCCCGCGATGTTCGAAATTATTGATATTTATCGGAACGGTATCGCTTTTTCTTTTTTAAACTGACGGTTCGAGATGACTAGTAACCCAATATTTCATTGCACAACAGTTGTTGGGATGCTGTCACAGGCTCTTTAAAGTTCAGGGTAATCAACTGTTAAAAACATACCGTTTGTTTTTCAATAAATGGATGTTTTCAAAGTAAATGGATAATCGTTTTTAATAATCGTGATATCAATTATTCACCCAAATAATCAAGATTAGGATTTTTGCCATAATCGAGCAGCCCTACAAACAAGTGGCAACATGTGTGATGAAGGTGTTGCGCTGGGCTATATCATGCAATCGAAAGTTAAACTTAAGCTCGCTCCATTGCGGAGATATTCCCGCGAGAGTGCGGAAAACTTAAATGTATTTATTTATTTCAAATGTTATCAATATGCTCGCGGACCACTAGGGGGCGCTCACGGACCACACTTTGAGAAGCACTGATTGACCTTTGGAGAATCCTGTGGTGTCAAGGTCCAGTATTTAGCATTTGACCTTACATCTCAACATTGAACTCACCAAGCCAGGCTCGATACTGCTCCAAAGGCACAGACGGCTCATCGTCGTCACCATCATCCTCATCTGAGTCCTCATCATCATCGGAGTCATTGTCATTATCAACATTGTTAATAATCATCAAAGGAGAGGGAGGACAGGCGACGCCGGGGTGCACGGTGAAGGTGGGAACGCTGGGAGAGGAAACAGAGCTCAGTGAGGGACTGGGTTTGGATGGAAATTACTTCATATTTAGACTCCCCTCACCTCTTGGTTCCCAGCGTCTGCCCCCCCAGTTTGATCTTGAGTCGGAGCTGTGGGGGGGGGCGAGGGACCGGGGGGGGCTCCGGCGCCTCGGGGAAGCTGTGGTGCTTCCTCTTGTGCTTCTTGTGTTTTTTGTGTTTGCGCTTGTGAACGCTGTGCAGGCTGGAGCCGCCCTCACCTGAGAGGAAGAGGGGAGACACAGATACATCAGATACATGTGTTATCTATTTCATTACAGTTGCTATTATTGACGTTACGCCATATCGATCAAGAGGAAGTATATGAAGCAATGATTTTAGTCCTGTGATACAGTGCTTTTTGGTGTACTACTTACTGAACAAAAAGAGTACATTTTGAACAAATTATCTAAACAATAGCTATGTGTGGTTTTTCATTGGTTTGGCTTCACATTCTCCTCTATGCGTGAAAGTCAATCAGTTCACGCAGCGTTACAAAAATATGAATATAAAATGTGCTCCACATCTTAGGACAACTGGTTTGTGAAAACGAATCCAATGAACTACAAACTGAGAGTCTGTTTTAATTAGGGGTCGATATTCCGCATTTGACCGATTATCGGTATCGGCCTTTTTTTTCTTCAAATTGCCGATAAAACGTTGGCTCTGATGCGGCCTGCGGCTGCAGTCACCGCTCTGTGTACACGAGCAATGTCTCTGATAGGCTATTACTGAAGATTTCCGGGCGGGAGCCAGCCAGAGAGGCGGGACCTTCTCAGATTACAGGCGGGTGCGAAAGAACCATGGAAAGACCGCAGACACAGACTCAGGGTCGGCGTCATGGGGGGTCATTCGCGGGCCATACCCCCCCAAATGAGTCACTGTGCCCCCCCCAACGCAGGGTGGGCAAGCCTTGCCACTTTGCCGTTTAAAAAAAAAAAAATCATATAAGTGAAAACGTTTCCACTAAAGGTTTTTTGTGTGAAATACGTCAGAAATAAAGAATACAAATATAAAACACAGCCTGAGGTGTGCTCACTGCTGCTCTCTGATTGGTGTGTTGCTTGACCAATGACCCCCGACCTTTGTTTTGTTATCATTACGTGGCTGTGTGTTTAGATGAAAGCCAGTGGCGATCTCTTCATCTGTTACACTGATTATACAGTAAAGCCATCGAAAATAATATGATATACAGTACAGTACAAGTACATGGGTCTCTGTGTTTCATTCAAGCTCGGCTCTGTGTGTGTGTGGCACGAGCGCATTTTGTGAGTGTGCAAGCGGTAACGTGGAATGTTGATGTTAGCATCTGGTTAGCTAGCTATGCTAACGGATATAAAGAGCTGTTTCTACACCAAGGTGGAGGAGAGTCCTCTCCTGTCAGACTGAGAGGATCGTATAACCTCAGCTCAGTGAGGTAAGGACTCTCAGTGTTTAGATAGTTAACTTTAGTGTAAGTTATCTCAGTGGGTCTCAAACGGTTTGGTCACCATTTATGTAAACAAGTATTTGCGAGGAATACCTTTATATGATCATTATAGTTATTAAAGAATAAGAGAATAAATGAAAAACGGGTATGAAATACTATAGGACAGTAACACAAGAATACAGTTTAAAAGGGGAGTGATTAGTAAAATATCCATAAAGAAAAAGTAAATCTGTGTACAGTTCTGTTTCATATGGATGCTGAGAGATGTAGGCTATCCATAGATCTCTTAATTTTGCTCTCAAAGTGCACCAGATTGATGCATTTAACTTCAATATTTTTAAAATAATCTTCCCGGGGGAGCATGCCCCCAGACCCTCCTAGAGGACGTTAGGTCCACCCCCACCTAAAACATGTTCACATGGATAGGATACTAAATACATTTGCACCCTTTTTATATGGTGGCCTATGTCCATGTTTCTGTTTTGGTGGTCGTGCCACAACCGTGGCGTGCATGTATGCACAAGTCATAGGTGCGCTATACAATAGCACTACAATGTGTGTGAAAGACAATAGACTTTACAGCATGTTTTTTTAAGTTGCGTTGGTGTTTGTGTGTTGGTTGTTGACGGCAGTGTGTGCCCCCCCCTTTGTAAATGATTGCCCCCCCATTCAATTTGTTCTAGAGCCGACCCTGCACAGACTGAAGCAAGCAGCAGCGCTGAGCGGCAGAGCCATACATGTGTTAAACCGAAGTTCAATAAACATCCCTATCCTCTATGCTGAAGTTGCAAAAACACCACGATCTTATGATCCAATTCTATCAGTTTCCCAGTTACACAGGGACGCGGGAAGTCAGTCAGAGTTGAGGGTGCATGCAGCGTCTCGCAGCGGAGTAACTGTGGTGGGGGGGGGGCTGCGAGTGGAGTCTCGCAGTTTTTCATGTTGATATGTGAAGCTCATTAGCTAGCCAACATGTGTCTAGCAAATGTTTAGCTAAATATTAGAAGTGAGGCTACTAGACTAACGTTAGGTCTACTGTAATAGCCTCACTTTTAATAGTTTGCAAAACATTAGCTAGCACTAGTGTTTTGCAGTTGCTAGCAGCTTATTGGGATTTTATGCTAGATAGACAGATATAATAAATTAAGCATTATTGTAAGTTAAGCATGTCAGCCTGCAGCCCCACTTTTAACTCTCGGTCTCTCTCTAACTCATTGCAGATGACTGCACTAAAGAAAAGGGCACAGAGAGGAAACCAGTTGTAAGATGTTTAAAAGTTAATTAAACATAATATATGCTTAAATGCATTTCAAAGAAGTTGAGTTGTGTTGGAGTTTGTGTTATTCTACATTTTGACACCAAGATTTTTTTTTACTGCAAATGTATATCGGTTCCAAATATCGGTTATCGTCTCCTTGATTACTAATAATCGGTATCGGCCTTGAAAAAGCCATATCGGTCGATCCCTAGTTTTAATTGTCATCTGAGAAATGTAGTGACTGAGAAAGACTGTAAGTGTTACTGTTATTTACTCACCGAGGAACCTGGGGTGAATCATGTCTTTCCTTTTCCCCATTGAAGCGGCAACAGGGATGTAAACACGGAGAACAGCAGCCAGTGAGCAGATCTACATGGCTGCAGAACTTATCTGCAAAACTGAGAGGAAAACACACCTGATTACCAGAGGTGGGAGAAGTACTCTGACCTTATACTTGAGTAAAAGTAGAAGTACCAGACTGTATGAATACAGTACAAAATAAAGAGTAAAAGTATACTATTAGCCTCTGAATTGTAGTGGAGTATGAGTTCAAGCAAACAATTAAAATACTCTAGTAAAGTGCAAGTCTGTCAGAAAAGTACAGTGCTTGAGTGAATGTACACTTTACACGGCACTGCTTATTACTGAAATCGTTACATTAAATCGATTTAAATGCATGTAAATATTCTCTATTAGTTGAGTTAGCTAAGCAAAAACCTTATATTTAGTAAACTGTATAAGGTTAGCTTCAATAGTTAGCTTTATCCTTATTTACCCATGTGATGCCTCATCACATAAACTAGCATACACTCAACGTTAAGACAAGCAACAACATTTACCATTTTTGAAAGAAAGCCCACGCTGCAAAGCTGAGGCGAATTGACCCTTAACTGATATGAACTAACAGTAACGGTACCTAACAAACATTACATTATAATGATTTAGCCGCTTCATAACGTTGTTAATATACTAGTAGTGTTAATGTACACCTAAGCTAACCTAACAACACAGAACTTCATCTTCTTCGTCATTTCCGGTCTTTTTGAGATCCGGTATACTGCCTCTAGTGGAGAAGGAAAAAAACGGTCAAACAAGAGCGAGACTAAACTGCGAGACTGCCTCAAGCCCCCAGGAAGTGCGCCGGAGTCTGATGAGAATATTCGTTGTGGCCAAACGGCGGTACTACACTTCCTTTAGGTTGCTGGGCCCCGGAAACACTTTTTCCCATTGACTTACATGGGGAAAGAGTGGTCTGTAACTCGTTGGATAAACTAAATAAACAACCCAGTATGAACACTTGTATAGCCCTTATTAAAAACATTCGTTCCTCAAGTTGTAAAAATGTGCTAATAACGTTATTCTGAGAGTTATTTCCCTCTGCATTATGAACGCGCATCTAACCCACGGGACCGCGCCGCCCGGCACGTTCATGTTACGTGTCCCGACCGCGTCTATCGTTATTCCAACCCAGTTTAGATTTTGCTTCCGCATTACGCAAGAACGTAGCTCTACGCGATAGCGTCATAGCCTTCTTCTTCGGCTGTTATAGCAACCTGGCGTTACATCTCTATGGGCGGCAAATATGAATCTGACAAGCGAAATACCGTCCTTTTAAACGCCCATAATTATAATTATAATTATAATAATAAAATAGTGCTTCTTTGTCAATATGACTGACGACCACACTTATGCAGTGCTGAGGTAATGTTAATTCATCCTTTAATATTAATTCCTGATGGATATAAGAGGGATACATTAGCAAACATCTGTATATATAGCCTATATAATGTTTCGTTTTTTTGTTTGTCATGTAACATATTAACGTTTTGACCTTCTGTTTAGGATGTAAAGGTATCTATTTAATATTTTATTTAATGTCTATTTTGTTATATAATACAACATATAACATTTGACATTAATAACATATAAACGTTTGTAAAATATAAAAATGAAATGTTGGGGACATTTATAAAAAATGTATTCCTTTACATAAAAGTGCTTTCCAGAGGTGTAAGAAGTGATAAGATCTTGTACTGTACTTGAGTAAAGGTACAAGTACCAGAGTGTAGAAATACTCAATACTTTTATTATATTGTGTTGTTTATATATATATATATATATATATATATATATATATATATATATATGTATGTGTACAAATGAATTAATATAAAGTGTATGTGAGTGTGTGTATAAATGAATGAATACATCTGTGTGTATACATGTGTGAGTACATATAAGTGTGTGTTTATATGTTTATAAATGAAATAAATGTGTGTATATATATATAAAACAGTATCATTAAATAATGCTGTGTGTGTATAAATGAATGAATACATCTGTGTATATTTATGAATAAATACATGTGTGAGTACATATAAGTGTGTGTGTGTATATGAATAAATGTATATATAAAATAGTATCATTAAATATATATATAAAATAGTATCATTAAATAATGCTGTCAAATAAATGAAGTGCACAGTAATAGTCAAGGTGATATTCAATATTCTGCTGATAAGATAAGATATTTAAAACGTCTTTTGTTTGTCCTGAAACGACATTTGAGAATACACACAGGCTATTTATAGATGATAAAACACCAGTAATACAATCTCAGGAATCTTCGATATGGCTTTGATTACAGGATCGTTTACTTTCAGTCAACAAACAAACAGGATCGTTTACTTTCAGTCAACAAATCCTTTGGAAAGACAAAAAACAACTATTCATCCTGCTTTACCGCGACCGCTATAACAGCCGAAGAATAACAGCCGAAGAAGAAGGCTATGACGCTATCGCGTAGAGCTACATTCTTGCGTAATGCGGAAGCAAAATCTAAACTGGGTTGGAATAACGATAGACGCGTCCCGACCAATCAGAGCACACTGCTCACAGGGAGGGTGGGGCTGGAGCTATTGGAGCTACAACGAGCCGTTAAAGGCAGAGAGTGAAATTCAGTGAATACACGTAGTTTACAGAGATGCTGTATGAGGAACCAATGTGAGTTGCGTTTATCTTTACCCATGGATGCACAATAAGAACGGATCCATATCGTCTTACTGCCATCCCACGGAGCTGTAATAATGGATATATTACACATGTTTGCTGTAATTCATTATCATACTACATGGGCTGTATGATTAAATCTTGTACCGTAAATGTTGTATTAAATAAAGTTAATATTACAAGTATATATACACAGTGCAATCATTCTTTCATGCTAAATGAAGCTCTGTTGCTTGGATATCCATATATATCCATTTTCTCTGTTAGGAATTAATCCAACTCAAATTAGTTACATGAAACTAACCCGAAGAATATAATATCAAAAAGTTAAGCGAAGTTATTGAACTGTTTGTTCAATTTTAGTTGTTTATTGTTTTTTACATCTTGGAAGATTAGTTAACTTTGCAAGTATCGCGAGATGACCACTGTAGGTCTCGGACAAAAGGTCCACGGTGCGGTCAAGCCGAGTTACGCAAGGTTAGTTTGCAGAAAGCGGAACGTGGTCGAGTTAATACCTTTATTAGTGTGACTTTAAGACATGTATCGAGTATAATTTGCATGCACCTCGGCACTGCAGTGTCCCAAAAACAGGTGTCTCACCTGGTGCTTATGTGGGCTCACTTTTACGGAGTTTCTTTATAACATGAATCTAATGTGACAGTGCTGCTGGTCTGTAGTAGGCTACAACAATAGTTATTTATTTTAAGCAAGTTAAAAGTGGGAACTATTTGATATCAAGTTAACTTGGGTCACAACATAATAATACGCTGATGAATGTTTTCAGGCTTCCAGCAACATGTGGAGGCTGAGGAAGTTAATGCAATGCAAATATGTGAGCTGTGAGGATGAATATTTCTGATTTCTTAATTCTGCAGGATCATGAATTACGCTCGGTTTCTGACAGCTGTCAGTGCAGCTAGAAAGCCCTCCGCGATCAGGATGCTGAGTGAGTATTTTTAAATAAACACGTGTTTAAAATGTGACACTCGTTTCATAGAAAATATGCAGAAAATGTTGTGTTATCTAGTAGTGAATGCATGTACAGGCTTACCTGCTATAAGTTTAGCAGTGCAGCCCCTATTCACTGGTTTTGAACTGGTAAATGTGCAATATATAGGCATCACTTTGGGATACAAGTGAACAAATATGACATTTTATGGATCAACAAATCAAATAATTCTAGAAGAAATTTCACATTATTCGATGTCACTCCTATTAACCTGGCCATACACACATAGAGCCAAATATGCTTTAAAACACACCTTATATGTATATCAAATGGGGGAAATGATTACGAATGTAGGTTGCTAGTAATCAGTCCCTCTCATCCATCTCTCTGCTTGTAATCAGCTGAGCTGCAGCAGCGGTCTCCTCCGACTATGATCTCTTTGGCCGGAGGAGCTCCAAACCCCAACACCTTCCCCTTCCTGTCAGCCTCCTTCGGGCTGAAGGACGGACAGACGCTCAACTTCGACGAGGCGCTGATGAAGAGGGCTCTGCAGTACTCTGCCTCTAATGGGTGAGAAAATCTCCTGAACAAAAACAGAGACATTACAGTACATCAGAAAAGTGTGCAGCAGCAGGTGGAGGTTATCATTCTTCTACTAAAGTTTTATTTTATTCAACATTTGCCTCTTTAAACTGTGTCAGGCTGAAATATAATATTCATTTAACCTAATGTTGATTTTTCGTTTTTAGGTGAGACGTTTTTGTTACTTTTTTATGACTATTCCAAACACAATATACGTATATCTACTGAAACCTACCCAGCAACAGCACCTAAAAGTGCTTTTATAAAAGTATAATTAACTGGACTGACAGCATTATAACAGCATGTTCAGTTCTGGAGTTAATGTTCATCACTGTGTAGAATCCCCGAGCTGCTGACATGGATGAAGAAACTGCAGAAGGACCTCCACAACCCTCCGAGCCCGATGGACATGTGTGTGACGACGGGGAGCCAGGAGGGGCTCTGCAAGGTACCCACACCACCTCTACTGTTAGCTGTTATAGTAGCAGGCGGTTAGAGGATCAGCTAAGGGTGATGATGGTGAATGAAGTCCATTGAAGCACAACATATTGACTGAGAGTTTGCAAAGAGCCTTGCTGTTAGCGCCGACGTGATCCAGGAATAATGTGTGCAAGTTTGTGACACCCCGAGGGTCCCAGCAGGCCAAGTTCTCATAATGCACCTGGCTCCGCTACCGGCCTCATCAACAAGGCCCGGCTAGGGCTGCACGATTTTGGGAAAAAATTGAATTGCGATTTTTCTGACAAATATTGCGATTTGTGATATTTGTTTTTAAGCGACCCAACGGAAGTTTATTGTAAAATGCGGCCATATCTCTGGCTAGGAACGTCGCATCAATGCGCTCCCGTCTCTAGCACCCCCGCAGCCCGAGCTACGAGTGAAAGAACTAAACTTACATGAAACTTCCGTTGGGTTGCTTTAAAGTCAAGCTTCAGTTTAAGATTCACCCTGTAATTCAAAAATACTTGGCAGGTGGATCAATCTGTCTATCACCTTCTATCATGGGCCACTTCTGATTGGTTAACAATGGCTGGTACATGTGGAGCACAGCACTTCTGATTGGTGTGGATGACTGACACAGAAGAAGAAAAAAAAATAAAATTGCAGGCTTTGCGATTCGATAATCGCATCATTTGAGATTTCGATTTAAAATCGATTAATCGTTCAGCCCTTGGCCCGGCCCCCCCACTGACGCTTTACCTCAGCCACAACGCAGACCCTATGCATTACATTAATGCAATATCGTTTTTTGTTTTTTTTATTACTGCCAATTTTTATTCCATATTTAATTCCATTCCATTGCAATGTAATACTGTTATATATTTTTAATTATTTTTCTAATTCTCAACCCGTGTTTTTAATTCTTGTTTTACTTTTATGTATGCACCACGACACCGAGTCAAATTCCTTGTATGTGTAAACCGACCTGATTCTGATTCTGTTAGGACAGGAGTGTGAAAACAAATGCAAGCCAAAAGCCTGTGGTTCTTCCTCAGCGCCAATCAGTTGTTGTCACGTCAAAGAAAGACGTTGAATGCAGGAGGAACAACAGATTTCCTGAGGCACAATTTAAGCTTCAACTATCGACCTACTGGCAACACTAGTTTGACATCCACATAAAAAGTGACAATGTTGTTTTTATGACGTGGGGTGATGTTTGGGGTTTCTAGGTGTTTGAGATGCTGGTCAACCCTGGAGA